CCATCCACGCCCCCCCCCGCTCTCAGCGGCCCACACCCCCTGCTCGCAGCGGCGCTCATTTAAGATAAGAAAACCAGCCCTGCTACTTGTCCGTAGCAGGGCTAAAACAGTGAAAAAAACACTTCCTCGGCGCCCGGAACTACATGTACCGGGCGTCAGGCGATACGAATTCCACATCCCTGTATTACTACATATATCCAAGGGCTCTGTCATCAAATTGGCAGGGGAGTATGGTGAAAAAGTAAGGGAGGGTGGAAGGGAGAGTGATCCTATTGACATGTCACTTTGTCCATTCAGCAAATTTTATTGACAAACCGTTCTGAAAGCTAACATTTCGTTATTATCCATTGAGGGACACAGGATTGTAGAATAGTTGTCTGACATGGGGTATAATAACCCAGCCTACATGGGGTATAATAACCCAGCCTACAGGAGGTTTAGACACTGGTAAACAAATGCTAAGCCAGCCCCTGTATAACCCTGTAGTTGGACACTTTTTCCTCAGCTCTGCTGTTGAAAACTCAGATTTTTTTTTCTTCATTATTTTGTTTTTAAATAAGATTCCATTGTGGATGATTGTTTCTTCAAAATGTTCAATTAAAACTTCAAATATGTTTCTTAAGCTAGTCTATTCTTAGCATCTATCTGAGTCAGCTCATTTTTGGCACTGCCTTGGAAGCCGTACCTGGACACAGCGGAACCAAGGATTGCAGGGCTTCCCTGGAATGTGACCTTCGGGCACTAGGCTTTGCCTATTGGCCCTTCCCAGACCTTTGGTTGCTGTTAGACACAGAGCTCTCTCCAGGCTAAGAACCATGGCACAGTTAAGGCCCCGTTCCCACTGCGCGATATGCAAATCGCGCGATTTGCATATTGCGCGACATCACGAGATTTGCCGCGCGATGTCGCGTTCAAGCTTGCATTGAGCAAGCTTGAATCGCGGCTAAATCCGCTGCAAAAAGGGTCCTGCTGTAGCGACACACGACCCGCGACAGCAGGACCCTTTGCCCCATTGGATTGCATTGAAAGCGATATCGTGCGGTAATTTGCCGCGCGATAAATCGCTCAATGTGAACGGGGTCTTAGACTGCGACAGCTTCAAGGACATTCAAGTCTCTGAATATGAATGTATTACTATAGCCTTCAGGTTACATGTATGGGTATTCCTGGTAATTGGCTGCAGTCACTGTTCCACCAATACCTTTCCACCTGGCTCCTTTGTTTTTCTGATTGAAGGATGTTGGACGGAGGGTTGTCGACAGGGCCGATCACTGAACAAATTTAATCAAGAATCGGCCAAAATTCACTCAGTGTATGCCTGGCTTTAATCTAACAGCTTCCTCCATCCATACCAAATAGCATGAATATAAAAAAATCTCATGCTGCGGCACCGGCCACTGTTGGGATACGTGAACAGTGACTGCAGCTAACTGGCTGCAGTCACTGTTCTGGCAAAAAACTTCAGCCTGACTTCTTCAACACAAACCAATTTAGTAATAAACATTTTTGTGCTGGCAGGGGCATGCACCTTAAGAGTTTCAGACAATTTCTGTGAATTGGCTGACATTCTAACAATGTATGGCCAGCTTTATGGTCACCACACATGTTACAATCTGACCATACAATGTTTGTACATTCAACTTTAGATCTACCAAAACTATGTAATAAGAGCACCTACCTAGTCTATTCAAACAATCTGCATCCAATCGGGTAAACAAATCCTTGCAATAGTAGTTGATAGATCTAAAGGAAATTGCACAATCAGATTGTAGGATGTGTGTTGAGCTTTAGTCTTCTGCATAGTAACATGCCCCCACTTCCTTGTGTGAGGTTGTCTGTTTATTCCTCCACAATATAGCTTTTTATGTGATTCTTTGTGTTAGAATGCTCAGGTTTTCTTTTGCAGCTCCTTCTTTTTTTCTCAACCTTTAGTGGAGTATCTATACTAAATAAATTTGAATATCATAGTCACACTCCAGGTTGTTCCTTGCCAACATTACCGAATGCATGAATTTTACTGGATATCCTTGCTTGGGAGATTTCCCACTTAGTTCTGTACTACTATTTCCTTTTTTTCTCCCATTCTTGGGTATGTACTCTCCCCTCTAACCTTCCCTGAAGAATATATTTACTTTCTATGACGATGGAAACATTTTTGTTCCCCACTCATCCTTATCCCTTAAGATGCCCGGTACTTCAGTTCATATAGAATTGTGCTGATGAGTGGGGAACCTGCACCCCAGCAGTTCATGGCAAAATCTTTAAGTAGTTTGAACATTTTTCCTTTATACTTCTCTATACATTTGCAAGGTTATCCCTTCCTTCATCCTGGGGTCTATTTATATCTCAACTACATCTTTCTCCTTAAATAGTGAGCATGTTTTATGTTAAGATGTGTCCTTTTTCTGAGATGCACCATCAGTATTCGTTTCTGTCCATTTTGAAAGGTTTTTGACTGCCTTGTCCTTTCCCCAATTTGAACAAAAAATGCATGGAAGCGCACAACTGTAATATGGTCAGGTTTCTCACTTGTTAACTATATGGAAAATGGTGTGCAAAAGCTCTTCAACAACCGGGAGAGTAGGACGCAGCCTGGAGAGGTTTATTTAGATCTTAGACCATTTAGATCCTGACCGTCCAGATCTTTCCATCCAGAAATACTTCGCTGACTGCAGGGAGTGCATGTCCATCCATGACATCACAACCGTGAGTTATTTATCAACCAATTTATTTAAACAGTTAGTCATTACAGGATGCTTAGCATCTAAACAATTTTTTAGGTGGTTGCGCTCTTCTATGTATAATTTTGTCCTTTCCCCAAGACACTGTCTTCCACTAGGAATACCAAAAATCTGGTATCCTTAGTTTCATCTCCTTCTCTTCACACAGTTCCTCGCCCTCTTTTTTTTTTCTCTATTAAGGACAAAATCTCTCATCCATACCTATCTCTTGTGAGATATTTTCTGGTTGAGAACGCCCCTTATATTTTGCCTCCTTTTACCTTTTTTAGTCGAGGGGTTTTGACTGTTATCCAGTTGGTTTGTTTTATGTAGACATATTGTGTGTCATATTTTTTCTCATTTTTGGAGGTTTGTCGCTTGGTCTAAGCTATTTTCTGGTATGTTTACTCGTAGTTCTTCCTTTTTTTGGTTTTGTTATGGTGGATGTTTGTAAATCTGGAGTCATGAGTTCCCTCCAAGAACATACACTGCAATTCTCAATCCTGCCTTTGGAACACCAGCTTGAACCTATATGTCATTCCTTGAAACTGTCCTTTTCCTTATTGGAAAATGTTGTTTTATCAAGCCTCTCCTCATTGATTGAGATTGATTTTAGTAAGGCCCTATTTTGCTGTGTTTTTTTTTTTTTTACCAGTGGCTTTGCCTACCCCTCAGTTGGAGTGTTAATGGCATCCTACATGTCAAGGCTATTCTACAATCCCATGTCCCTCAATCGACAATAAAGAAAATAAGATTTCTTGTGCTTGCCTTTAAATCTTTTTCTTCGATCCTGTGGAGGGTCACAGGCCTTGTGCCCCTGTGTTTTTGCTGTATAAAGCGCTTACTCATAAAACTGAGGCATGATGCTTGGAGGCAGGGTTATGCTGGGGCTGGCTTAAAGTTTTTTTTCGGTTTGCTAGTGTCCAAACCTCTTGTAGGTGGCAGTATTAACCACATGTAATAGACTATTGTACAATCCTGTGTCCCCAACAGACTTGAAGAATACTATTTTATGGTAAGTATAAAAATCTTCTTATACAAAGAAGAGCAGGTATCATAAGGTGCCAGGATATACCTCTTATGTCAATGGCCTACATTCCCATAGCACATCTAGAATCCCTCAAGTACCTAAAATCTTGTGGAAAGCCATCTCAAAGAGTGGAGGCAGTGATAGCTGCAGAGTGGGGGGTCAATTCCACATTAATGCCAGTGGTTTGGAATAGGATGTCCAACGAGCTCTGGTGTCCACAAACTTTTGGTTGTAGAACGTATGTAAATATTGACTTTCCAAAGGTTGGTTGTGCACTCCAGCCTTTGGAGTAAAACATTGGTACAAAAATGCCTTTCAATGTTTTTACTGGAATCCTTACAGATATATTTTTAATGGTATGTAAAGAAATTCTAGTGTTTTTTTATTTTTATTTTTTTTTTATTTACAGATTTTGATGCAGTATGCTGGGGAGACCACATCATTATTAAAGGGAAAGTTAAATGAGGAAGCTAAAATTGTCTCATTAGGGATGATTATATCCCATTGTCTGAGCTGCGTGTGTAACTGTAAAAAGGTAATTGTTTCTCCTTATCATGAGTATGTGGCTAAGTTCCTTTTTGAAAAGTGAAGTTAATAAAATGCTAAATTCATAATTCGTTAACACTATGTTTTCAGCCATTTGACTGTAATTTTCAATTTCTCCTAGACTTAAATGAAAAGGTTACTTTTTATAAGAAAAAATAAATAAGGATACTTAACCTGGTGTGTTAGCTCAATGAATTGAGCCCAGGCTTTTTGCTCTCTTTTTTTTCCCTCTCCATATGGTGATCATGCCAGTAACACACTCCCTGTCCTAGGGTGACAACTGTCACTTACTGTACTGTATTAGTGGAGGGTCAGTGTTGTTACCCTAGGACAGGACTACAGAACACCACCTCTTCTCCATAACATAGGGTGAGATGTAGTTTACTGAAGAAGTTTTGAGAGGCCTTTAACATTGTTCAAGATTTTAGTTAAGTAAACAGGAAGTTACAAGGACACTGGATTTTTGGCAAGATGAATAGGTATTTTTCTGTACTTGCAGAAAATGTACTTAGCATGAAAAATAAAACTAATGCTGCCACTACATCTAAGGATTAGTAAGCTGCAATATCTTAGAATTGTGTTTCTAGATTTAATTTATATACATTTATGTTAAAAAAACAACAAAAAAACCAAAGCAGCAGGATTTGGGCTTTAAAATAGATTTTTATTTTTACTCTTACTAAAGGAAGGCAATAAGCTAGTTACATGAGCAAGGGGTTGACAAGTTGTATGTTTACAGACTGCTAGGGTTTCAGAGAAAACCATTTTTGCCGTTATCAGCAATAGAAAATCATGTCTGAATGCAGGGCAGGGGTTATTTAATACCTTTTAAATCACAAAATAGCTTGTGTACCAATTAGATACAGTATGTTACATCACTTTATTAATGACATGTTTAGTTAGAGCCTACCTCTGAACATGACGGTAAACTGATTGCGTAGCCCACCTGACTGCCGTAAAGTATCTTGTATAGATTCAGCACAAATTGCAACCTGCTTCTACTCAAATATATACATGCTCATCCAATCCCTGAATCATGTAAGTTTCTCCAGTCCTTTTTAAGTTTTTTGTACTAATTTCATTTTTTATTTTTGTTTACAGTCTCATCCAACTCATTTTTTTATGGATTTATTCCTACGTCTTTTAACATCAAGAATGTTAAGTGACTTATGTGATATTTCTAGGAATTTGGTAAGTTAATGTTGTTGCTTATGCAACATTAGATTTTGCACGTTATCTTTGTTCTTACCTGTGAAAATAATGAATTGCATATGGTAACCTATATCACTTCTGAATGGAAGATATCTGTTATAGTTTGATGTTCTCTGTGATAGGAAAATGGAAAGGTAGAAGTAGAATTTTTCATTGGTGGTGTATATTACTAGGGTTACCTTTCTAGTATCCTTGGTAACTGTTGCCAAAAATATTCCTAAACTTCAGTTTAAAATACCATTTCTTTACTTAATATTCAAAAGAGAGAGGGGGAGAGAGATATTGAGAGTGATAGATAACTAGGGACTATCTCAGTGACTGTCCCTTTTGATTATACCGTTTCTCTAAACACACCAGCTGAAGCAGAATAACATGTTAAATAAATCATGTCAAAATAGCATTCCGCCACCAAAAAAAAAGAAAATGGCTTCATCAGGGTTGTGTGAATAAGGCACATTGTGAAATGTGGCAAAGGTGGCTGCCAGTTTTTTTTTTTTCTTTTTCACATTAAATCCTGTCTTTTGATCCACCCCAAATGGAAGCATAACCTTTAGTTGTAGTTGCACCTGCTTTGTTGGTGTAGGCAAAATTAACTGTCCATAGTGACTTAGGAAGTCACCTTCTAAAAATGTACCCTCCTTCCTATGAACTTTATTATTTCCTTTCTAAACATGGCAAGAAATGCAGGTTCTTTTTCCTGTGCCTATGTTTTAAATTGCTCTGTTTTAGTGTCTCTGTACGATTTCAGATAATGAGCAGTGGCAGTACGGTGGAAGCCATGGAGGTTGATTTTATGGATGGTGACATAGAAGCAAAGATGGATGTAGATAACCAAGGTGCTGTAGATCTTATTGATGACCATTCTCCTGCTGAAGCTACAGAAAATGCAGACTATGGAGAATTGCAAAATGTAACTGGTGAGTAAATTAATTAGACTCGGAGAATATATGCAAAGGATGAGGAAAATAATTTATGATGCCTGTGAGCTGTTGGAATGGGTCTGGAATACAGGGGCTTTTAGCTACCTTTGTGGATATTGGAAAACTTAGACAGTAAAAAAACTAAACTAAACTGCTCCTCCTGAAAAATGTCCGTTACCTGGCTATCATGCTGATGCATTGGCTTCCATTATTCAACAACTTGAGTGTTTTCTTTGTAGGTGCAGTAAGCCCTTTGTCAGAGGATCACCTCAGCAAACCAGAGATGGTGCTGATGCAGGCCCTGCAGTTCCTGTGTTTTTGTGCATCCGCTGCTGTCAACCATTCTGTGAATTTCAGACCTTCTGATATACGAAGAAAACTCCTCAACCTCATTGATAACTCACTGGACACCAGCAAACCTCTTCATCTTCGTGTGGTGAGATAAATAATGTTGCTATATGTTAGTGTAAGCAAACGCAAGAGTATGAACCAACACTGTGAAGGGTAGGCGGTGTAACGTGTTTAGATGTTTAGGAAATCTTTGTCACATGATTATTTTAGTATTAAAGATGCTAGAATATATCTCATCATCCCAAGCGTCCCCTTTTTTTATAGTTATATTACTGAATTTAGTCTAGAAATAGCTGGAAGAGAGACACAAAATAAGGATAAAAGTAATTTTAATTTGTAAATTATGTGCTGCCC